CAAAGGAAGCTAGAGGGAGAACTAAGAACTAGTGGAACTAAGGAAATTGTTACCTTTGAGATCTTCAAAATGGGCTGCTTTTCTGAGATGTGTCCCTCCTAAGGTTGAAAAGTTCTCGCCTTTAGATTTGAAATGGATTCTAGTAGACAGGGACTGTTGTGTGGTGGTGATAACACTGGGTGCTGTTAGAACTGTTACATATTTTGATTATGCTGGTTAATGAGCTTATACATATATTAAAATCCAGAGAACTGTACATCAAAAGGGGAAAAAGTGAAGTTTTACTGTATAATTAAACCCACAAGGTGCTGGAGCACAACTGCTTGGGTTTGTTTGGAATCACAGATCCATCACTCCTTAATTCTGGGCTAATTACATGAACCTTAGCTTGCAATCTCTAAATGCAGGTAATAACAATACCTCCAGCATGGGGTGGTTGTAAGGATTCAGTTAATGTAAAGGGCTTAAAAGTGCCAGGCTCGTTGTACATGTTTAATAAGATCTATTAGTAGTATTAAAAGACTATAAAGAAATAGGCGCTCTATGGGTTATCATATGATCATAGTAACTGTGAATAGCCTCAAATACAACTGCCCTGAGGTTCTGTCTTTAGGCAGGATAGGAAGAAAAATGTCAGTGCTAAGCAAATTTAATTCTTTTGTCTTGCTATTTTTTAGGGAAGGCAAAACCAACTGCCAAAACAAAAAAGTTCTCTCTTTTTCCTAATTCATTCATTCATGCTGGCTGCTTTCCAGGGACTTACTGAAAGCTTAGGAAGGATTTTGGCAATTTCTCATGTTCACAATCACTTGATGATGTGGTCTGTAGCACGTGTGTGTGTGTGTGTGTGTGTGTGTCTGTCTGGCCTCAGTTTTCTCAGCCCTACCAATGTTTCTGGCCAGAGGTACTGACAGTATCTGTGATTAAGCATCATCTTATACCTACCAGTGAGAATACTACAGCAAAATGCTTCCACCAGGTTAAACAGCCAGAAGGTAAATTCTGAGACTTGTTTGAGAAGCAGAAGGAAACTTCTGAAAAACAGGAACCTGCGGCTCCAAGACATTGGTTTTGTAAGGATGGTCTAGACCTAAAAATATTCAGACCATGAAACTTCTGTTCTAAATGAGAAAATATTGATGGTCTTTGATATGAAGGGAAGAAGTGGAGCATCATTCCTATATGAGGTTAAAATACTCCTCTCGAGGGATAGACAGCAGGACAGAGACATTAAGAGCAGGCAGGGGTGCTGCTGGGCTCACACGGCCCGAAGTCTTGTTTTTATTGTTTAAGCGTTACGCTGACATTTGAGAGGAAACAATCCCTCGGCGGGGAGGAGAGCAGCCAAGAGAAAACGGAGCAGTCTGAGAAAGAATGGAAATGATCATTGCTCCACAAGACACAGCCAGGTGGGAGGGAAGCCAGGGTAAATGAGCAGAGACCGTCTACAAAACAGCTCGCCTCAGCCGGAGCACGGGGTGCCTGCTCTGAAGCAGTGAGAGGTCTGCCACGTCTGGCCACACTGGAGCTCCAAGTTAGTCACCTGCAAGAAAGCAGCGTGATTTCCATCCTGCAGAGAGTGAGTGATCAAGCACAAGCACCCAGGATTGCGTCTGTGCTGCGCTTCTCCGCTGTCAGGGAAGAGTTGCAAGTTACAGAGACAAGTTAGACACTGGGGAACTGCATGGTAAAGCCCCACTGATTGGTAGGGCTTGCTGGTGATGATGATGAAAAACTAAATGTGTTAAAAACATCACTTTGTCTCAGAAACTGAAGAAAATGCTGCTGTTTTACAGAAGGGAGGAAAGATATGGAACTTTAAAGATAAAACTGCATTTAATATAAATCGAAAAGCTCTTTGATGGCACATTTTTTACTTCTTCTAAGGTGTCATGAATACAAAAGAGGTGACATGCTGAACACAAGTCTGCAGAACCAAGTAAACGAACTAGTATAAAATTTGCTTAATCATTTTCTAGTCCCTCAAAACAACCCCTGTTCTGTGGACATGAGGGGCTATCCTGACACCTTGCCATTAATAGCTGCTCTCCTGATTCCTGTGTGCTGCCACAGTATAAATGATTAGAGATAGGAAGTCAGTCTTCCTCCTGAGATCAGTGGATTAGGAAGTATCAGTAAGCTGGCTGATGCTCAGAAGCCAACACAGTAGGAGAACTTTCTTGAAGCAAATCCCCACTGGATCAATTGGATACAGCAACTGGGCTATCATTCTGGGCTGCACCAGGTTGCCTGAATGTGTTATAAATTAATAGCAAATCCTAGCACCAGTCTCCACTGTCTATGCTCAGAGGGCCTTTTTCATCTGAGGTCTTGTAACCAACCTTTCTTGGCTTTCCTGTCTGTTTTTGCTGAGAATCATAAAAAGGATTGAGAAATATTTAGTGTCATTCCCTCATTTTATAGATGAGAAAATGAAGACCCAAAGAGATTAACTAACACAACCAGTGAAACTGAGATTTACCTAGTAAATTTTACTGTTTGAAACTTAGCAAGATACCTTGGAACATTTTTAGATATGCCTCAATCTAACCATAACCATTGAATATTAGAAGCAAGACAAACCTGAGGATATAAACTCTGAACATTTAAAAGTGGAATCTTTGTCAAGCTGTCTAAAAGCCTGTACGTTTTCAGCTAAATAACAGCATCAGTTTTGGGGTTCTGTATTTTTCTAAAATGCACATTTACCATATTATCTTCTTGTCTAGATTCAGGACTAAGCTACAAACTATGAACAGTACATAGAAATGTAATGGTCACAATTTTAACTTGTAAAGTTAACAGTTTTTCATTCTCCAAAGTAAACTAGAAATCAACTACCAATCATTTTCTCAACTTGGGAAGCTACCACCCTCTAGAGGGTGGGTCTGGAAATGCCAGGGGGGGGGTCACCAGTGTCACAGTGAGTAATGGGGCAGGGCGTTTATGCTACACGCTAGTGGCATTTAGTATCTAGGGATAAAGGATGCACATTCCCCAAGGATGCACGTCTGCACAAGGATGCACACCTTCCCCAATATGCCAATAGTATTCACTTTGAAACACAATGAAAGTGAGATCTATAAAGTGTTTTGGTTTTGTTTTGTTTTAACCAGTTTCATTTTTAAATACCATTTATCCAACAATGACTTACTTAGTGAGGAGGGGGCTAGAGTGTACCTGTTGACAGAGAACCTGGACTATTAAGTTCATGGTAAACCTGAGTCTACAGGAAGTTCATGGATCTGCATTTCAGGCCAGCCTACTCCACAAGCATTTATCTCAACACTGGGACCTGGGACTTGACTCACCAATTCATTGTCCACAGCTATAGTGCCACTTGCTCAACTAAGCATACATAAAGGTACAGACTTCTGACTGGTGTAATGTTTTATGTACAGTGTTTATAGGCAAATGCTGAGAAAATAGCTGAAGTGCTCTTATCTTTGCAGAATAGATCTCAGATACCAAAAAGATATAAATCATTTTCTAAGATCTTCGGGCACTTTTAAATTACATAAGGGAAACTTCTACCTGTTTTCCAGATTTCTTTCACTGTTTCTTCCCTTAAGTAATAAACATCTGACTGCATTTCCATCTACATCCTCCAGCTTCCCCATGGTGGGGTGTGGCCATCGAACTGTTGCCCACTGGGCACTGATGCGGGCAACTTCCAGCTTTTCCTTTCTTTTCAGCAGGGTAGCTGCGTGCTCTTCACTCTCTTCTCATTGCTGTGTAAGGATGACAACCTGAGCAATCACCTTAGACCCAGAGACAGAAGCCATGGAGTGTTCCCCAGTTGGGTGCTTGGCTGACTACCTGAAGCACAGCCACTTACTCATTTCTCTTTCATTTAAGCCAGTGTATTTTGGAGACACTGACTTTCTGCCATTTTCTCTTACGCCAACTGCTAAGCTGCTCTTTAGATTCTAAATAAGAAATGCCATCTGGTCTCAATAACAAATACTAGTGGGAGAAATGTATGTTACATTCAGGAGAATCCTGAATGTAACAGAACTCCTTTTTAGGTATGTTTGAATCACAGATAACACACATGTACATACCCTACTTAAAAATTAAATGTGTTTACAAACTTAATTCATAAAAAGAGGCATGGTCCTTGGTAGGCTGAAAAGGGTGAGGGGGCTTTATTACAGTGATATTTAATAAAATGCAATGTGATGTACACAGTACATTCTATATAGTTCATCTTTAATGTGAACAGGTCCGCTTCATACAACTATCTTTTTTTCTTTTTCTGCAGATTGTACAATGTCAGAACTGTCCCTTGAGGTGTATAGCATCAGAGGTAGTCCTTAAACTTTGGCCTTACTGCTATCCAACCTATGTAGGCACACGACAGAATACAGATGGTGTAGGCAAGCATCCTGTTAAAATCATCCTGTTAAAAACACCAAACACAGCTCCAGATGGAGACCCAAGGGAAGCTACTGCTGTCTCACTCCATTTTTTTTTTAAAGCATACAATGCATTTGTGAAAATGTACAGATTCATTTTCAGAGTAGGTTGCATCTTACGAATAATCTAGCATGTATTTCTTAAAATTTTCAGTTAATGTCGGTTAAGGCTGCATATACATGCATATTTTTATGCATAAAATACATATTTTTATACATGACTATAAAAATATGCTAAACATCAGTGTGTATGTGTTTGAGCTGCTCAGTCGTGTCCAACTCTTTGGGACCACATAGACTGTAACCCACCAGGCTCCTCTGTCCATGGGATTCTCCAGGCAAGAATACTGGAGTGGGTTGTCAGTTCCTTCTCCAGGGGATCTTCCTGACCCAGGGATGGACCCAGGTCTCCCACACTGCAGGCAGTTTCTTTACCGTCTGAGCCACCAGGTAAGCCCCAAACATCAGGAAGGCTACATTAGTCCCCTTTTGAAAAGTGCTTGGTATAAAATTACCTGCAGAGGAGAACTTGATGTCAGCCACTGCTTCAGATTCCTCAAATCCTTCATCTAATGTGATGTCTTAAGCAACAAGAGGAGGAAATCCTGCCATTCTTTCTTCACCCATTGGAACCTTCCGTTGGGAGATGAAGTTATTTAGAAATTCAAATGAAACCCCTGCTAACTCTGCTAACTCTAATATTAAGTTAAGGCACTGATAAGATAATACAGGTTATCAAGAATAAAACCATTTTAAACATTAAACTATTGGAAAAAACCCTCAATCACTTCTAGATCAAATGAAAAGCCCAGGAGCTCTGTGACAGGATGAAGCCTATGGATCCCAGTGATGAAGGCCCCATGGCATCCATCTGGTGGTCACCTCCAGACAGCTAATCTTGTTTTATTAGCTTACACTGTTTTGGCAGCCCTCCATAAAGCTTTAGACATAGTAACTGGGCAATTAAGGCAACAACCTTCCAAACACCTCAGTTCTTACAGGCCTAGCTGGACAGAAGTTACTCCCTGCCTCATTAGAATTGAAGGGTACCTGGTAAATGGGTAAGATTCAGCTCTGTGTTTACAAGTGTTTCCATGTATTGGAGGCATTAATAGATCTCTCTGTGTTTAGTACCAAGGACACAAAGATGGTACAATATGGTCCCTGATCCCCCAGGGAATCAGAAGGTGGAAGTAGCAAGTAAATAATTTATAGGGTAAGAAAAGCGATGAAAGTCATCTATTAAGTACTATGGTTGTGAAGAGAGTAATGAATGTGATTTGGTCAAGGGAAACATGAAGAGCAGAATTTTGAAAAATAGATTACTCAGTGCAAAGGTATTGTGGGTTAGAATCATGTACAGACACAAAAACTGGAAAAAGGATGATGAGTTCAGAGAACTGTAGTTTAACTGTGCAGAGTGTGTTAGGTGTACATGTGTGTGTGTGTGTGTAATAGTGATGAAGCTATCAGTTGAGATTTCTCTCAGTAATGTGGAGCTAACAAGGAATTATATGCAGGGAAGAGAAAAGAATAAAAAATAATACTGTGACCTGCTTTGTATTTTGGAAAAATTTGTGTAGTGCAGGTTTTGTCAACCTCAGCACTACTGACCTTTTAGGCCGAGTAATTTTTTGTCGGAGGAGGCTGTCCTGGGTACTGCATGAGTTTTAGCAGCTTCTACTCGGTGTCCATCAGGTTGTGAAAACCAAAACTGTCTGCAGGCTTTGCCAAATGTTGCCTTGCGGGAAGAGTCAAGCCTGGTTGAGAACTACAGCTGTAGTGGGGTGGGGGTGGGAGGAAGACAATAAAACTGGAATTTAGGAAATAGCTCATAATCTCAGAAAGCAGGCTACAGTTTGGACTGTGAGCCTGATCTCAGTGATGATTAGGAGGCAGGATTGACTTTGACTTGGGAGATGAATGAAAACCAGAAGGCAAGGCGGAGACACAGAGTGGCCCAAGAAACTGTATGATAAGGGGAGAGAAACCTGAATGTCGCTTTGAGAAGTATCAGTGAGTCCACCCTGACGACTACACAGATGCATGAAGGTGGAGCCCTCCCCTCAAATCCTACATGTGTCTGGAGCATCAACTTTAGGCCAGTATTTCAGTGGAGTCTTAATTTCACTCTGGCTTTTTTCATTAGTCCAGAGAGAAAGAAGCATTTGCTTCTGCAGTCAGGTTGGTTTTATCCTGGTTGAAAGGCAGGTGTGACTCATTTATAGCTGTATGAGCATTCACTAATGTAACTCACATCTGCACTGGATGCAGCTGGTGTTTTTGCAGGAGCTCTGTCCCAGCCCCCTCCTCATCACCACAAACACACGGCAGGGACAACGGTGCCAGGGCACTGGATCTTCTCCCAACCACATGGTGTGGTCACAACAGACAGAGGTAGAGGACTTTCCCAAAGTCACAGAGCTTCACCGAGTGGTGGGGCAGAGCGGGACGTGAACCCAGCCTAGCTCCAGTGAGCTGAACCGTCATGCACTACAGGCTAGCCGACGGTGTGTGCGCAGGTCTGCCTAAAGAGCCGCAAACTGGCCCAGCCTCTGGTGAACGTGGACCGATTTCAGCGGCACAGAAAGGCCACGGCAGGGACTGCAGAGGATGGGAGGTGAGGAGCAGGAGTCGGCGTGATTGCAAAGAAGAGGAAGGAGCGGGACAGAGTTTTGTTTTGTTTCTGAAAGATCAGAGAGATTTTCACACACTGCTTCACAGGTCAAAGGAAGGATCAAGTAAGCAGGAGAGAAGATGTACGATAGTCTCTAAGTGTCTGTGATTAAGAACCTGGGAGGAGAGCTTTTCCACCCAGACAAGGGCTGCTAAGCTCAGCACTCACGTGTGGACCAGATAATTCCCTGTTGGGAGGGGCTGTCCTGTGCATGCATTATGCTTAGCATCATCTCTGGCCTCCACCCATTACATGCCAGTAGCATCACCCCGTTGTGAGAAAATCCAACGTCTCCTCACTCACATTATCCAGCGCAACTTTTTGAAATGATGTGACCACTGGACAGTTGAAAAGTGGATAGTGCAAGTAAAGAACTAAATTTTAAAGTTTTATTTAATTTTAATTAACTTATTGAAATAGCCACATGTTGGCTATTTAGCCACATAAGGCTACCATATTGGGCAGTGTCACCTAGAGAAAATCCAGCTCTGTCAGTATCCTGGGATCAGTCTAATCCAACATCCCTTTTCTTATCAGAGACCATCTCACTTTATAGCCAAAATCCTCAAGGTGAACAAGGTCAGAGAGAGCTAGCTGATGGTGTAACAAAGATGGTTCTGTCCAACAAAGGCTTTTTATCAGGGCTGTGGAACTATCCACAGTGGGTGTTATTAACCTAACTATGCAACCATCAAAGCGTGTTGCCTCACCTTCACATGACCCATGTGCTTCTGATATATAGTATCCACCTTGTCCAACGAAACAGGAAGAAAGTTGGAAGCCACAACTGTAAACCAAGCTGACTGGTTTTCCTTAAGAAAGAAAGAAGGAACTTATTTTATACAACAAAAATCTACCAACCAATATAAAACTGGTAAATAAAAACAGGGTCTTAAAAGCACCTATTTTGCAATTATTACAGATGTTTCTTAAAGCCACATATTTGACGTTTCTTCTCAACAAAGCCATAAATCATATTGCATTAGTGAAGAATTCAAATGTTAAATCTGTATAGTAGGGACTTCTCTGGTGGTACAATGGATAAAATCCACCTGCCAATTCAGGGGACATGGATTCCATCCTCCATCCGGGGAAGATTTCACATGCTGTGGAGCAACTAAGCCTGTGCGCCACAACTACTGAGCCAGTGCTCTAGAGCCTGGGAGGGGTAACATGAAGCCCATGTACGCCAGAGCCTGTGATCAACAAGAGAAGCCCCCTCGCTGCAATGAAGAGTAGTCCCCATTGGCTGCAACTAGAGAAAGCCCACACACAGCAACAAAGACCCAGCACAACCCAAAATAAGTAAATAATAATAATAAAAATCTGTATAGCATTCTCATGAGTAAACTCAAAATATAAAGAGGAAGACAGGAGTGGAGGAGGAGTAGAAAGTAAAAGAAGGATTTTCTGGAGAAACAAAGGACTAAAGCTACAAGAGAAACCTCCAACAGAGCAGACACTGCTTTGTCCCCTGGTTCACTGAACCATGTCCCCTGGTTCAGTGTTTAGAACAGTGGCTTGAACATCAGAGTACTCTAATTAGTTCTACTGAAAAGTTACTACAACATATACTGAATTTACAAGCACTAAGCTGATATGGAAGAGAAATGTGACCAAAGTCGGGAGTACTCTAATTAGTTCTACTGAAAAGTTACTACAACATATACTGAATTTACAAGCACTAAGCTGATATGGAAGAGAAATGTGACCAAAGTAGGGAGAGCATGTTTTTTAAAGGGAAGCATCCCACCAGCCCCTGCGGGACATTGAAGAATACAGAATGAGGTGCCTGAAACAACTTCAGACTTACAACTTTTCTGAAAACGAAGGAGATGGGTGCCGCAAGGCTAACCAGGCCAAGGGGAGGTGGTGGCCCTGTAGATAGCTTCAGCGCCCTTGACGATGCAGTAATCGGACTCCAGAAGCGTATTGAAAACAGTGGACTTAGCGTTGGTGGCGCCAACCAGGTAGACGTCGCCGCGGTAGCGCCAGGAGCGCTGGAGCGCGGAGATCTTGGCGCTGATGCGCCGGCACGTCTCTGAGCACCTTGCGGATCTTGGACGGAAGATTCGCATTGTCCTCCCCGTCCCATGGCCGGTCCCCGCTGAGACGTTGTGGCTTTCGGTAGCCGCGGGGCGGCAGGAGCCCGGCGCCGATAGTCGTCCCACAGTCGCTCCTGGAGTCGCTGCTGGTAGTCGGGAGTGTCCTGGGGCATAAGGGCCACCATGCTTCCCAGCACCATCAGCAGCTTGGGGCCCACCAGGGCGGGCAGGTGGGGCAGCAGGGCGTCGGGCAGATCCAGCAGGTCCACCTTGTACAGCACCAGGGCGGGCTCGGGCCGCCGCAGCGCGGCGCTCACCACCCCCGGAACTGTTCCTGGCTCACCTGAAGGCGCAGGGCGCGCCGGCGGTGCACCAGCACTCAGCAGTGTTGGCACACGGTCCGGGAGGGCCTGCTGGCCGGCCCGTAACTTCTGCAGCCGCCTCTCCTCCCCTCGCCGCTGCCGCCGTCGCTCCTCCTCCTCCCGCCGCTGCTGCAGCTCCCGCAGCTGGTCTTGGAGGGTCAGTTCCGGCTCCGAATCCCTGGACGCATTCGGGGAACAGAAAACTCTCCTCCAGGTCAGCCCCTCCTGGGTTACCCCCAGTCGCCGTCGCGCCACGAGGAAGGCCACGTCCCAGGCCCGCTGGGGGCCGGGAGGAGGAGTCGGCAGCGCGTCTCCTGGAGGAGCGTCTCCCGGACGCCGTGGCGCGCTCCAGTGGGAGTGGGTCCCCGCAGGAAGCCGCAGAGCAGTCCGCGCGGCAGCATCATTATGCTGGAGAGGGCAACGCGGCGGAGCCGCCTGGGGCAGGAGCACTGTGGCTGGGGAAGCCACGGGGACAGGCCCGGAGGACCTGAGGATTGTCATTCGTCAGCGTCGCCCTGAAGCTACCTCTCCCGCGTCTAATCGCGTGAGTTCTCTCGATGAAGGCTCTATGACCCAAGAACCCATCTGAAGCGGAGATAAAGACATCGGGGACTTAAGACTAGAGTGTGTTGGTGGAATAGGCTTGCGAGTGAGGGTCTGTTCATTTTCAGGCTTCTTCAGCGCGCCGCCGCTGGCACTACCCGCTAGTAAAAAAATCTTATTTTAAAAATCTTCGTGTTTTTCGTCTTTGGAACTAGGAGAGAAAAAAAAAAAGTTGAAAATCGAATGCCGCAGACTCATAGCCACAACAGAAACCTTTTATCAATACATCTTCTTGGCTTTCCCCCCATGTGTCATTATGCGTGCGCGCTCAGTCGCTTCAGTCATGTCCGACTCTTTGCGACCCCAGGCTTCACTGTCCATGGGATTCTCCAGGCAAGAATACTGGGGATCTTCCCGACCCAGGGATCAAACCAGCGTCTCCTGCATGGCAGGTGGATTCTGTATGGCTGTGCCACCAAGGATCCCTTGTGTCATTATGTAACAGGACTAAAAAGCAAAAACTTTTCATTGCCTATATCTGAGGCCGAGTGTATAGGAGCGATCATCCCTGTATGTAAACCGCTTGAAGCGTCCGTCTACAATTTGCGCATGTGCAGAATTTCTAGTCGTTAGGAAACCTTAACCTACGCTTTGCGCAGGCGCAGAGTTTATATTCCGGCCCGGCCCCGCCCCCCCCCCCACGCTCCCGCCCCCAGCGTAAGGCGAAGAGCATTCTGGGAATGCCGGAGGCTGAGGTGCTCTCGTTTGACGTTGCCTGTGTGTGTGGTTGCTCGGCCATTCTGTCTGTGATTTTAAGACTTTGTCGTGAACCGTTAATCAGTATGTGTGACGCACACAAGGGTACGTGAACATTCAGAACACTCCGCGGCGAGCCATCTAAGGCGGGAAACATGGGGAGCTGGACGAATGAAGGATTTGTGGCCTCATTGCCGATCCACCATTTTGGGCTTCCCTGGGGGCTCAGGCGATAAAGAATCTACCTTCAATGCAGGAGAGTCGGGTTGGATTCCTGAGTGAGGAATATCCTCTGGAGGAGGGCATGGCTACCCGCTCCAGTATTCCGGAGAATTGCCTGGAGAATTCCGTGGACAGAGGAGCCTGGCAGGCTACAGTCCTTGCGGTCGGAGTCGACTGAGCGACCAACATTCTTTCACTTTACCGGGCCGGTCGGACCACGTCCCAGTCGTTTACCCACATTCTCCAGGCTGGGAAGGAGTCCGGGATTTTGAGAGGTGGAGGGTTCGGGAAACGTAGTCTTTATGATCTCGGTTGGAGGGGCTCTTCTTTCGGTTGTCCGCTTCTCGGTAAATCTGACACTCCCTTCGCGTATTGAAAATAGCGTACAGAAACAGGACAGATTCCTCTGTTCTGACTTTAATGCAAAGGGCTGCTTTCTTGATTTCCCTTAAGGCCAAAGTTAATGGATTTATTGAGTTGGTGAATTTTTGAGCCTCAGCCTGTGCCAGGCACCGTGCTTGGCTCTGGAAATACACCGGGGGACAAAGAATGGGGTGGGCGGTGGGGAGCAGGGACTGATCTGGTTTGGCATTTCCTCATGATGTCATGTGCCTATGTAAATTATCCTAAAAGATGACTTTTACGTATCCTGTTTCCACAGATGACACAGTTCTAGGCACATATTTTACTGAACACGTTCAACGTATCTTTTTTTTTCTTTTAATATGTAGAATTCTTAGTCATGTCTAGGGTATTTTCAAAGCTCCCAATTCCATTCTCTACAGCTTCTGTTTAAAACGTCGTTTTCTTCTAGCTCCTTATACCTTTTTCAACCCTTTCAATTCTCCTTATTCTCTCAGTTGCTTCCTGGAGAAAAATAGATGAAGAAGTTTAAACTCTACTATTTATTTCTGTCACCTTGAGTCTAGAAATCATTACATTCAAAATTGAAACCGTTTTTTAGCTCAATTTTCGAGGTCATATATTCTCGTGATTCATAAACAATGAAAATGTTAACTGTGAGGTCTTACTCTTTTCCACCTTCCTTTCCTGTCCACCATCTGCTCCTCTGTAGGTAACCACTATTTTAGATTCTTAGCTCTCCAGATGCTTCATTTATATTCAAGGAAATACAAATAGTATTCTATTTTTCCTGCTTTTACAGAGCAAAAGTAACTTCACACTTTTCTGTACTTTTGTTTTTTGCATTATATATCTATATCCAAAAGATTTTCATATCAGTACATAGAGAGCATCCTAATTTTTTTTCACGGATATGTAGATTGAATGGATATACTATAACTAAAGTTGTGTCTTGATGTATAGTTGGGTTATTTCCAGTCTTTTTCTGCTTCAGACAGTGCTGTAATGAATAATCTTGTACATATCATTTTGTTCAATACAAGTATATTCTGCAGGATAAAGGTTTAGGTATAGAATTTCAGGTTAGAAAATGAACACTTGTTACACAAATTATTAACATTTTGCTAAATGATTCCAAGTGACCACTGTAGTTGATTGTGTTAATTAATATTCTCATTAGTAATGTATAATAATCCTATGGAAAAAGAGTTAAGATTAGATCGGTGATCACATTTGCTCTAGCATTGAGTCTTCATTAAATTCCTGCTTGTGTCCTTTGATATCAGTATTAGATATGCTCTCATCAGGTTTTAGACACTTGTTTTTCAGCTGGCTTCTTTTTATGTGAAATATTAGCTCTCTCTTGTCCTTGGGAAAACATGTTGAATATTTCCTTTTTCTTTCAGTATTTTAAGAAAATGAGTGACATCTCAATTGATAAATGGACATTTTTAAAACCTTATGTAAACCCTTTGGTAGTCAACACTGTTGATGACTTTGCCATGAAAACTCCTTCCTTCCATCTGCTACATCCCTCTCACTTAATTCTCACCTGTGTGACTTTTTTTTCTCATTCTCTTCTGCTGTTCGTGTTATTCCTGGATGATTTCATTCATTCTCCGTAGCTCCAGTTACCATGTATGAGTGGATGACTCCTAGGTACAGTTGACCCTCCATATGGGTAGGTTCAGCATCTGGGGATTTAACTAACTTTGGATGGAAAATATTTGGGAAGAAAGTTCCAGAAAGGAAAGTTCCAGGAAGGAAAATTTGAATTTACCTTGGGCTGACAAGTATTTATAGGCATGCTTTTTAAAATTTTGCTCTTTATGTGCTTCACAATATTACATTCTTTATAGATTTAGCTTTATGACAACCCTGAATTGAGCAAGTCTATTGATGCCATTTTTTAAACTGTATTTGTTCATTTCATGTCTCTGTGTCACATTTTGGCAATTCTTGCAATATTTCAAGCTTTTTCTTTCTTTTTTTTTTTTTTTCATTTATTTTTATTAGTTGGAGGCTAATTACTTTACATCATTACAGTGGTTTTTGTCATACCAAGCTTTTTCATTATTATGTTTTTTATGGTGATCTCTGACCAGTGATCTTTGATTTTACTACTATGAGTGGCTGAAGGCTCAGATGATGGTTAGCATTTCTTCACAAAAAAATGTATTTTTAAATTAAGGTGAGTGCATTGTTTTTTTATTTTTAAAATTGTATTTATTTCATTTATTTTTGGCTGTGCTGGGTCTTCACTGCTGTACAGGCTTTTCTCTAGTTGCATAGAACAGGGACTACTCTCTAGTGGTATGTGGGCTTCTCTTTGCAGTGGCTTCTGTTGGTACAGAGCATGGGCTTTAGGGTGTGTGAGTTGCAGCTCCTGGCCTCTAGAACACAGGCTCTGTAGTTGTGATACACAGGTTTAGTTGCTTCATGTCATGTGGGATCGTCCCAGATCAGGAGTTGAACCCATATCGCCTGTTTTGGCAGGCAGATTTTTTTACCACTGAGCCACCAGGGAAGCTCCTACATTTTTTTTTAGACATAATGCTTAGTAGACTATGGTGTAGTGTAAACATAGCTTTTATATGCCCAGCAGGCTTTCTCTCCTGTTCTGTTTCTGATTTTGTGCCAGTACCATACTGTTTTGACTATTGTAGCTTTGTAGTATAGTCTGAAGTCAGGGAGCCAGACTCCTCCAGCTCCATTTTTTCTTTCTCATGGTTGCTCTGACTCATCTGGGTTTGTGTGTGTGTGTGTGTGTGTGTGTGTGTTTCCATAAAAATTTAAATTTTTTTTTCTAATTTTCTGAAAAATGCCATTGGTAATGTGATAGAGATTTCATTGAATCTGTAAATATCCTTGGGAAGTATAGTCATTTTGACAAATTGATTCTTCCAATCCAAGAACAAGGATTTTCTTAGATTGGAAATGTTTGTGTCATCTTCCATTTCTTTTGCCATGTTTTATAGTTTGGGGGATATAAATCTTTTGCCTTCTTAGATACATTTATTCCTTTGTGTTTTACTCTTTTTGATGTGATGGTAAATGGGATTGTTTCTTGAATTTCTCTTTCTGATCTTTTGTTGTTAGTGTACAGAAAAGCAAGAGATTTCTGTGTATGAATTTTGTATCCTACAACATTACCAGATTCATTGATGAGCTCTGGTAGTTTTCTGGTAGCATCTGTAGGATTTTCTATGTATAGAACCATCTGCAAACAGTGACAGTTTTTCTTTCCCAATTTGGATTCCTTTTATTTCTTTCTCTACTCTGATTTCTGTGGCTGGGACTTCTAAAACTGTGTTCAATGAAAGTGGCAAGAGTGGATATCCTTGTCTTGTTTCTGATCATAGAAGAAATGCTTTCAGTTTTTCACTGTTCAGTATGATGTTAGCTATAGGTTTGTCATTTACAGACTTTGTTATGTTGAGATAGGTTCCCTCTAAGCCCACTTCTGGGGGGTTATTACCATAAATGGATATTGAATTTTGTCAGAAACTTTTTCTGCATCTATTGAGATGATCGTTTGGTTGTTGTTAATCTTTTTCAACTTATAATGTGGTGAATCACACTGATTGATTTGTGGATATTGAAAAATCCTTACATCC